GAGTAGTAGTATTAGCAGTGGAGAGAGTAGTAGCAGGAGTAGTAGTATTAGCAGTGGAGAGAGCAGCAGCAGTAATAGTATTTGCAGTGGACGGAGTAGTATTTGCAGTAGTCAGAAACATCTCAGGGATAGTCGTTGCTGATGTCTTGTACTGAGCTTCAGTCGTAGAAGCTGTGATGAGGAGACACATTAATAAGATATAATAATTATTTCCATGTATATATTCACGACACTTGAATATGAGTTATGAGTAATTGTAATTCTATGTTGTTTCTTACCCAGAATGATGCAGAGTAAAAAGCAGACGTCCATGTTGTTGCTCGGCTGCAGATCACGCGTCTCAGACTGAAAGTCAAGTTCATCCACAGCTGCACAATAAAATCATAAAGGTTCGTCATTAACTGACAGTGACCCACCTCTGCACCTCAGGCACTTTATTAACTGATAAGATTCTGTTTATAGGAGCCTGGACTCATTTGTTGTTTTATCAAGGTTTAATTTAAAAAGTCGGCTTCACTTCTCCTCAAATCCACAAAACCTCTGGTGTTAAAAACTGAATTTCACTTCAATACTGGTTTTATTTTTACTCAGAACTAAAATAACAACAGGCAGTAAGTCGATAAAAGGACAAATAATTATTACTATTCATGCAATAACGTGGTGATAATTCATGTGAAACCTTTTTCCTCTGAGGAATCAGATTAGATTAAATCAGAGTTGTAACCTGTGCAGATATGTTAAAAATTAATTTACTAATGAAAACATATTTTCTTTAAAAGGTTCTCGCGCTGTCATCGGAGAAACTCTGCTCGAATAATAATCTGTCGGTCGCTCACTGTTCAAGCTCTGAGGGGGACAATATATTTGAATTGAGTTTTGAAAGTGTTGTTGGTAAAAACGGACTCAGTAAAACTAATCAGAAACTGACCTTTGACCTCCTGCAACAAACACTGTGTGTGTGTGCGCGTGTTGGACTTGAACTGATCGATCAGATCATTTAGTCCTGATCGATCCCACGTTGTCAGCAGATCATTGATCAGTTCAAAGTGCTCTGGACCATTGTGTTGATCAGTGATCAGCTCTGTCTCATGCTGATTTTGCTCTTTGTTTTTTATCATCACTGTCGTTCTCTGTATCTTATTGATTTTATTATTGATTTATCCTCTGTTGCATCTTTGAAGTTTAGAAGTGAGCAGACTCTGTGTTGCAGTGTGTGTCCTGCGGGGGGCAGCGTGATCAATCATTAACAGCTGTTGATGATTTATCTGCTGGTCGGGGGCAGTGGCGGAGGCGTGGTGTGATGGGGGGCGTCAGTGGATGAGCTCGGACTCTGGTGTTTCTTCTTCAGTCTGCAAACGTCATGGCTCAGCTGGTCGAGTGTGTCCCAAACTTCTCCGAGGGTCGAAGCCGAGAGGTCAGTGATTCTGATTTAAATTGTATTTATTGATCAGTGATAATCAACGACTCTCTCAGCTGATGAAGAAGATTCTTGTCGGTGGACATTGAGATGATTTTTATTGAAAGTCTCAGGAACTGTGTGGAACTGAAGTTTGACCTTTGACCTGTTTGTTCTGTCCAATAGTTAAACCGGTTCAGTTCACATCGTTTACTCAGTGACAGGAAGAAGTCAATCATCACCAGACTTCAAAATAAAATTCAGTTTGATTTAACCAGATGTTTCAAACGTTCCTCAGTGTTTCACACAGACAGAATAGAACTTTATTTTTAATCTCAGGTGATCGACGCCATCTCGGCGGCCATCTCCAGCACCATCGGCTGCAGCCTGCTGGATGTCGACCCCGGAGCCTCCACTAACCGCACCGTCTACACCTTCGTGGGTTCTCCTGAGGCGGTGGTGGAGGGGGCGCTGAACGCTGCCCGTCAGGCCTTCAGCCTCATTGACATGAGCCGACACTCAGGTCAGTGAGGCCCTGCAGCCACACGCCAACAGCTGTGACGCAACAGGAAGTGTTGATGTGTGTGTGTGTGTGTGTGTGTGTGTGTGTGTGTATGGGTTTGTGTGTGTGTCTGTG